GTTGCACAGGCAAAGGCTGAGCAACTGTTGTACGGGGATAAAAATATGCTCTCTTTGTGGCACTCTGACAATAAGTTACTTCAGCTTGGTGCACGCTTGAGGCCCCCATTCTCCCCGTATAGGCGGCTAGGGTATACATTAATGAAAACAAAAGGGTCCATTTTCATTGTAACCATGCAGAAGGGTTAAGCATTTGACCTTCAAGTATGGTGTGCTTGTGCTCAGTGGAAAGGTTCTTGACAATATAAACAAGAATTACTGCTGTTAGAGAAAGGGGACACAATTAAAAACAATCTCAGATGCTTGTCGTACAGCTGTTCGAGTTTCAGCTCTGTCTGACCTCTAAGGATGCTACATGTTTAAGGGAGACAATTTAAGATATTTTACTGAGTCCCTTAACCATTCTCCATCGCCATCCTTCCACTTGGGAATACCTATCCTTAAACACAAGGCGCTTTTCCAGTAATGAGAGTTTACGCTGTGGGGTTTACTCTGAGAGCCATTTGCCTCCCCAGTCTGTCCTCTATTTGCTATCTGACCACCCTGAGAAGAAGCCAGAGGCCAGATCTTATAGGACCTTGGCAGAAGGCAGGAATGTTTGACTTTAGAGGGCATAATTCCTTTAAAATAGTTGGGATTTTTTTTAAAGCAAAATCTTATCACACCTTACTTTCCAAAATAGCTGTTACTGAAGAAAAGTTTTTACTCTGTTAATAACTTATCTGAAAAGTATTTTTCTTTATTTTAACAAAAATACAGTTACTTATTTCTAATCTACAAAAGAGAAAGCACAGAGACATCCCAAACACAGTTAGAAACAGGCCAAAAAACAAAAACAAAAACCCCCTAGAATTTCTCCCGAGACAGGAGAAAAGGCGACGGTTAGGTAAAGGACGATTCCTTCACACGGAGGGAACGCCGTCTGCCTGCTGTTTGGCCTTCTTGAGTCAGCACCAGGCTCTGAAACTGCCACGAACAAGAGGGTCCCTGGGAAGGGGGCCGCGAGGAGGTGCTGCCCAGCGCTGGGGCAGGACAGGGCTGGACGACGAGGGACTCCTGCCGGGGCCTGCAGAGGAACAAACCTCGCAGCCCGCTCCAGGTTTGAGGAGGTGAGACTTCCCACTTCTCGGGAAGAAAGGCAGGCAGACTGAGGTGGAACAAAGGCGAGAGGCAGGCCAAAGCTCGTGAAGAGCGCGGCACAGGCAAAGTTTTGCTTGTCAAACACACTTTAATCTCTAAAGTCGCTGGGCTTTGATGTTGCCCCAAACAGAAAACCTACATGGTTTGCAAGATTTACAGCATTTCTAGTGGGAACAGTTTCATGCTCCAGGGTTTTTCCTTCAGAGATTAAGGTTTATTTTATCCCTGATGTTCAGTGTGTCTGACTATAAGGGCCTCATCAGAGACAAGGACATTTTCCTGCCCTCTGACTCATCAAATACACCAAACTTTTATTCATCAAATCAAGTTCGTTTTTCAGGGAACAAAGCTGCTGGAGATGATCCAAACTGTGGGGTAATCACTGTCATTCTGACAAGACAGAAGTGTTTCTTTTGCAAAGAGTCAGCTCCTAAGAGCGATCACAAAAAGTGACTTAAAAATGGCTGCACTAATCTTATATCATAAAAGACCACACAATTCATCCCTGAAGTCGAAATGAAAAGCAAAACAGACGGGGAAAGAAAGAAACAGATCAGCACCTCTGCCTCAAGGGCAACCCCACAAACCCCTGCACTCGCACAATTCTGAGCCCTTTAAAGGGGCCCCGGGAGGTGCAGTTCACTGGGAGGAGCTCAGCATTTCCACTAACACTCCATTCCTTAAGTTGGCTCTATCGGTTCTGACCTCAAAGTGGGACCTGACCCATCGGGATAGAACCTTATAAGGCACTAGGCTAAGAAGCTGGCAGCAAATTTCAACTGGATCATGGATCACAATTTCAGCTCGACTTAGAGAAATGGCAGGAAGGATCACAAACGAATCTTTGCCTGGATGTGGGGATACCTACTTCTGACCTTGGCACCACTGCCAACTGAAAGGAACTGCGGGCAAGTCATTTCCCGGTTCTTCACACTTCGTCCAGAAAAGGCTCTACCCCAGCATTCGACACGTCTAATGCAGTCTGCTGATGACGACTCTTTCGCCATGGCAAGCAGGGATCATTCAATTTTGCCAAAACAAAAGGTCAAAGGAGAAAGGAGTTCCCTAGAGCCCCCTCTAAAGGCACAGGTTTAAGAGAAAAGGCGCACATTCCCACTTCTAGGCGTGGAAGCGTAAACAAACCCCGCTGGGGTCTCATCCATAATGACGCTAATGGAAGACACACCTTCTATGCTCAAGTATGTCAGCGCATCTCTGAGGTGCCAGCACAGAGAACCACAGAACAAACTCGGGAGGGGAAGAGACTTGTCTAACACCAGAGCCTAAAATACAACCCAGGGGTCCTGGCTTCTGACTGCACAAGCTTCTAGAGATGCCACTTGAGGTTGCCCTAGGACACACGCAACGGAAAGTGAGGTTTCACTGGAAATTGCAACAATTTGATCCTTCTCCAACAATTTGATCCACTACACTGGAATAATACCCAACCACCTTCCTGGGCTTCTCCACAGAGACACATAATAAAGGTATGTTTGTCCCTGTGGGGGTCAGTTTCTTCCACGCGATTTGCAACAAAGCCCACCTTGGATTTTAAGAGAGCGAGCCTGTAGTTAAGAGTATTGGTTGTTCATTTTGCTCCACAAACACTACCACAACTTTGTAACTGCTATACAGCATTAACAGTTTCCTCGGCCTTAGAGACCAAATTAATCACAAAATCAACAATCTGTTTTTATGCCACAGAGTTCAATTTTAGCTTTCAACATAAAGTGCAAAAACACAGCCAGTGCCCAGTGCAGCTTGGGAGAGGCATTGCTAAACTGCCTCCCATATGAGATTTAACACAACAATGGTTTTGCAGATTAGAATGTCTCCGGCTTTAGGTCAGCCTTTACTGAGTCCACTACTGGGCAACCGCATGTCTCCAGGCTAATTTCTGGAGGAACTCAGAAGAAAGCTGACTGCCACACCTCCCTCCAGCTGAAACGTGCTCCCTCTCAGCACCTCAGGCTGACCTACGAACATCCCCAGCAGACAGAACTGCTGAGAAACTTCCTCTCAGATCAGACCACAGACATATACACAGTCCACCTATCTTCTCTGACCACGTCCCTCTGCCTTTACCATCCCACTGAAACTCTTTCCATGCTGAACGCAACAGCGGGGTTGCTTTTGACCCTTCTGTCGTCTCTGCAGGGCTTGGCACCATTAATCTCCCCCAATTCTACCATCTACTCCGGGTTTTCTTCGGACCCCTGACTGCCACCTCAGTTGTCTCACTGGATCTCCGTGCTTGCCCTTTGTACTAGATCATTCCCCGCTGCCTCTGATGCTCTTCACTCTGTAATCTACATCCGCTCTCACTCCCTCCAAAGACCTCAGCCATTGCCTCTATGGAGATGACTGCTATGTGTCAGGTGCTTTCAAGCATGAATTGACATATGGGAGAACATCGCCTGGCACACGACAGGCACGTAAGGAAGGCTGACTGAAGACATGAATCAAACTCCCAAATCAACACTTGGCTCTGATGTCTCTAGCGAGCTCCAGATCAGTATTTCCAGATCTTCTTAGATGCTCTGCTGGCTTCTTAAACTCCACAGGCGCTCAAACTTCCTCCTGTCTGTTCTTCAGCTTGGTAAGTGGTATCATCATCCAACTAGTAACTAAAACTAGATATCTTATAAAACCGCCTGTGACTCTTCCTCATCTCTCATCCTCAACAGCCAATTGATGGTGAAGTTCTATGTACCTATTTAAGAACAGAACAAAACTCTGGAATTCATCCGTCCTTTTCGTTCCCTGCATTACTCTCCTGGTTCAGAGCTTCAGTATTTCTTCCCAGAATATTTGCAACAGGCCTTTCTGCCCCAGCCTCTCCTCTCTACATTCTATCCACCGTGCTGCTGCCAGTTACAATTTCGAAAAACTGGATCCGACTAGACCACTTTCCTATTCAAAAATCTTTCACACTAATTCCCACCATTATCTGCAGAACAAGGGCCAAATTTCTAAGCATGCCATTCAAGGCTCTTCATAAACTGTCATCTTTTTTCATTTGTTCTCTAGTTGCTAGGTGCCTGCTCCTCTCTCTTCCACCCCATCCCAAACAGGCACCTGAAGCACCAGTGACAAGGTGCTCCATCATTTCACAAACATGGTCTGGCACGTTCTAGAGCTGTGCCCTCGTGCCTACTGTATACACTGCCTAAAACGGGCCCTGTCCCTCTTCTTCAGCTGCCAAAACTCTGCCCACTAAAAGCTACCCTTCATTCAAGGCAGAATTAAAAGGCCCCTCCTCTCCCACGAAGCTTCCCCAGTTTTCTCAGTGACTTACACTCTCTGGGACACTCTCATAACATTTTGTTTCTCCCTCTCATTTGACATTCCACGCCATGTCGTATTTCTGTGTATGTCTATTTCTTTAACATGCATGTAGGTGCTATAAGTGCAGCAAGTCTTGATTTTTCTCCAGTGCTTGACCCATAAAGTGTTGAAAAAAAATTCAACAACTATTTGTTGGATTGAACTGACCTTACCTGGACTTTGTGCCCACCTAGTAGATGCCAGCTGAATGTGAAATGTACTTTGTCAAAAGACTTTACGGACTCTACTAGAAGATGGAACAATTAGGAAATGGCAATCTGGGCACCATCCCAGGCCAGCTGGTAAAAGCAAGAGGGATATGGGGCTCTCAGAGAAGGATGCTAAGTTATCTTAATTTCAGCCCATAGAGAAAACAAATGGATACTCTCTTGGGGGTTTGAAGGTTATCACATTTTCCCCTCATGCTCAAGATGTGTTTATAAACACAGAGGCTATAATAAAACTCACATGAGAGACAAACTCAACCCCAGCAAGTGTTTACATTCTAATCAGGACAACAAATCACTTCTCACCAGGAGACTCCAATTCAGTCAGCATGAGGATTCTTGTACATATGCCAAGGGCACCCTGGGCCAGAAAACCTCCTGGTCCCTTCAAGCTGGATGGTGATTCTGGATATCAACACAAGAAGAATAAGAAAGAATGGCATCTAAATGACACTTCTGAAACCACTATCTAGATTCTGCATGGCTCCTAAGTGCCACAATATATGGGCCCTTGATATTTCCTGATTTGTCACCTAACTCTCAACCTAGACAAGCACAGGGCAGTATCAAGGATGATGGCTCCTGACCTTTATGACACAAGAAGGCTGTGGCCAAGGTTCCCAGGGTTGCTTATGTCTGTCAAGGAAAAGGAAAATATGACCACCCCCAGGAACCTTGGCCTTTCTTAAAGTCTAAGGTGAATGATGTTTGGAAGATACTGAAATTAGGAAAGGAATATTACAGGGAGTGTATAACTTATCCTTACCAATTCACTCATCTATTCATAATTTGTTAAGAGTTGGACAGTGGTTTCACCATAGGCTTACATGGAATGGCTGTACATTTAGGACTTGCCTCTTACAAAGAAAATCTGATGAGGGCTGTCTTATTGCAGATAACAGTACAAATGAATACTATGGAATTGACTTGTATTCTAATAATTGGGAGGAATATGTACAAAGAAAGTACATGGCTATTTACATTCTATTTTACAACATGATCAACAATTCCCAGTTCTTTGTCGAGGGATGGTTAACGAGAAATTAACTAGCAAAAATCACATGAGCTATTTGAATGTCTCTAGTAGCAGTGGATCTTCACGGAACAGTTAAATGCTCTCAACTTCTATCTGCCATAAATACTCAATGCCTCCAGAATAAAGCTTGAGCTCCCGGGCACGGCTTTCACAAGGGTAACAGGAAAGCATAGCACAGGGACCTGATCTATCAGACAGGTCAAGGGAGTCTTTCCTGAGGAAGTGGCAAATTGAGCTGAGATCTGAATCATGAGTAGAAATAATCTATCTATCTATCTATCTATCATGTATATAAACGTTTTTGTGAGAGAAGACATTCCAGGAAGAGGAAACATGTGCAAAGGCCTTGAAGATGAAAGGAGCACAATGCATTGGACTCACTGAAAAAATGCCAGTAAGGTAAGTGTTAACCTACAAACAGAGTCAAAATGAAAGGCATTTATTTAGGGATCACAAAATTGCAATTCAGCGAGCAACGACTCAGGTAAAAACCCAAATAATGTCCCGATTAGAGGAGAGGGGCTCAGGGTTTTTACAGGGAAAAGGAAGGAAGATGAGGTCAGTTGTATTAAAGAAGAGTTAATTGGTGCTAGATGAGGTAAGGCTAGGTTTGTGCTTCATAAATTGCCTTCAGATTTGATCACCAGCAAAGTGCAGTTCCCCAGTCCTTACAAACAGGATGTTCTTGTCATACTGACTTCTTGGAATGTTGGCAGTTTGGTCCAGTTTGGAAGATAAAGAAAACAAGATGTGCAAGGCAATTCCTCGGAAATTTTCATTTAGCTCTACTCATGTTGTCTTTCACATAAGGAATAAGTAAAGTGGCTGGAGGGAAGGTAAGGCAGGAGAGGTGGGCTGAGGTTAAAATATTTTAGTCTTGATGCTAAGAGCAACTGGAAACCACTAATGAGGTTACACAGGGAGGGGGCACCATTAGATCTACATTTGAAAACACTGCCCTGGCTGCCATGTGAAGAACACAGGAAACCAGACAGCAAGCTACTGCAAGAGCCCAAGGGCGTGAGCGTGGTGTCTTGGACTAGACTAGTAACAGCAGACTTGAAAAGAAGTGAACAGACTCAAAAGATATTTCAGGGGTGAAAGTTCTCAGGTTGGATATGTGGGGTAGGGAGAGGGAGGGTTCAAGGATGATTCCTCTACTTCTGGAATGAAGAGAGAGACAGGCAGTGGTACCATTTCCCGAGTTAGGGAACTCCAGGAGACTAGCTTTGGGGGACTGCCAGTCCCACTTTAGGAGCCTTGAATAGAACCTGCACCCCTGCCTCTACCACTACACACACCACTCCCTCCACAGGGAAAGGCTACTCTTCCCGTCCCCATCTCCACTTGCCCAAATTCTCCCCATTCGGTAAGACTCAACTCAAAAGTCCCGGCTGGTCACGAAGCCTTCTGAAATCCCACCATCTTCCAAGATTTCATAGTACTCTTGGTACCTTTTATCAACGTCATCTTCCACCTTATATACAAATTATAAATATGTCTGTTTCCCTCCCGAGTCCTGCACAGAATTCAGGAAACACAGCAGGTACTCAATACATTCGCGTGGGTTTAAAGTGAGAGAGCTTTCCTGTTCATTTGCTAATATGTTCCTGTATTCATCCACGCAAGCAAACTAATTTAGTGAGAGGTCAGACACCTGTTGAACAGTAGTTCTCAGCCCTGAACACATACCAGAATCACCTGTGGGGCCTTCCGAACACACTGCAACTTGGCGATCGATCGGCATCCACTGGGAGCCGCAGCTTAGACCAGATACAGCAGCACTGGCGGGGATGGGGCCCACGCGGTGCTGCTCCACAACTAAGCCTGGGCGACTCACGCAGCCAAGTCTGAAAGCCACAGCTGCTGAACCCAAGTCCCTGGAGACGCTGCTGATGTCCTTAGAAAGCTGCAGCGTGTCTCTCATGTCCTTCCTAATGCTGCAGCCTCCAGGGCAGAGAAGTCAGACTCCAGAGAAGGCTGAAAAGAAAGGTGTCTGCAGTTGGTAACAGACATAATTATTATACATTTTTTAAACGGGAGAGTTTGTAAAACTGATTAAACCAAGAAGAAGGGGCAGCAGGCCATTCAACAAACATCATGCACAAAGCACTGGCAGGCTACAGAGAGGCCCCTCGGAGGAAGCCTGCGCCCACAAAGCCTTGGCGTCCTCACTCACCCACTTCTCTGTGGGCACTGAGAACACAGCAGTTACGGAAGACAGAGTCCCTGCCCTCAGCTGCTTATGATCTAGCACAGAGAACGGGTAAACATATAAGACATAATTTCAGAGGCTGAGCAATGCTCTGAGAAAAAATAAAGCGGGTAAAAAGACAGAAAAAGGACCCCTCTGAGATGACTTTTGAACGGACACCTGGACTGAAAGCACGCATCCAGACGCACACCGACACGGATGAGGGGAGAGTCCAGGAGACCTACAGGAGTGAGGCAGGTGAGAGCTAGGGGCACTGAAGTAGCAGGGAGCTGGAGAAATGAAAGAAGAGAAGAGATGCAAAATAATAATGCTAAAGATACGTCCGGCAATGTGCGAGACACTGCATCTATCACCTCGGGCAACCCTCACAACAACCCCGTAAGGGAAGCACTTTCATTAGCCCCATCTCACAGGTGAGGAAGTTTGAGACGCCTAGAGTGATTGCCCAATATCGTGCCCAGTGAAATGATGGAGCCAAACCCTAGCTTCACCAACTTGAGAGCTGAAGCTCTTAACCCAAAACATCTAAGCTTCACCTCCTGAGAATTAGTTTACCAACACAGTTTAGAAGGGTCAAAGGAAAGCTCTCCACTTGTCCTGAGACCTCTTTTCATCCTTGCCTTTACTTGAAAATATAATTCTAACCACTCCCCAGTCATCTCAACCCTCCCTAAAGTCGTCTTGAAACAAACTCTCCCCTAGGAACCACGTGTGCAGGGTGACGGCTTCAACCCGCAGTCCCGCAGCCAGGCAGAAAAGGGCCCAGAACAGAGGACGAGTCACGCTGAAATGGCCTAATGAAGACAGACAGGGCGAGGAAGAGCGGAGGTGAGCAGCAGACGCCGAGGAGGCTCACCACATCGGAACACAACAACTGAAACTCAGACCTGAAAAGAAGCCAGCAGGAACAGAACTCTAACCAAAACACCAGGCAACGTGCCATGTTTCCAGGGGCAAAGAGCTTCCCTTCACCTTCCATTGACAAAATCAGCCAAGGCAGAGAGCCCTAAGACTCGGCAAGATAAAGGGCCACATACTTCCCGCGTAGAAGTCAACTCCACCACACAACAACGTCACCGGAGGTCAGGGTAACCGGTCTGATCACATGGACTGATTCAGCTAATCTGGCACGCCACTCCACAGCAAAAGAGAACAGCTTTCCTGCATCTACCGGCCAAGGAAGCATGAGCAGAAGCTCTACATCTAACGGGATTCTTTGGTTGCAAGTAACAGAATGGAGCTTTAGCTAAGATTGTTATGTTGATTAAGAGAGCAGACTCAAGCCAGACTGCCTCGGCTAACTGCAAACCCCAGCCCTGTCACTCACTACTTCTGTGAGCTTGGCAAAGTCACTTAACCTCTCTGAGCCTCAATTTCTTCATCTGCAAAACAGGAATGAGAGAACTGCAAATGAAAACTGTGAGACACCATTCTTCACCAATCACATTTGCAAAAAGTCAGAAAGTCTGTTAATATACTACACTGGTGAGGATGTGGGGAAAACAGGCACTATATCACGTAAACTCTACATATAAATACATATATATAATACACACATGTATGAACTCTGCTACAAGCTCTATTTATGGAAGGCAATTTGACCATCTCCCTTAAAATTAAAAATACACACAGCCTTTGATCCAACAATTCTACTCCTAGGTATTAATATAGATGTTGTATGTGAAAATCTTCTGTATTAGGATATTCTTTACAACATTCTTTGTAAAAGCAGCAGACTGAAGACAACAGAGGACTGGTTAAATAAATTATGAAACCACACAATGAAAAGCTACAGAGTCATTTAAATGAATGCACAAATATGGAAAGATCACTAAGACAGTATTTATTCATTTGGAAAAAAAGCTCATAAGTGTTTGTAAGCATATAGAATATCTCTGGAAAGGTACAGAAAATTGCGAATAGTGCTAGTCTCTGGGGAAGGGAAACGGGAGGCTGGGGGAGTGAGTGGGGAGAAAGACTTACTTTGCACTGTACATGCTTTTACACTTTCTGAATTCTGCACCATGTGCATGTGTCGGCAAACAGTCCTGGGAAAGCTCATCTGAAAGATGGAGTAGCCGACTAAGGCAATGCACCTCTACCTGTAGCCACTGAAGGAAGCTGATCCACAAGATAACATCCAGATGCTATTAGAGAAGGAGGAAGGGATGCTGGGTGAACAAAACAATTGTCCATCTCAACATGAACGAGCCTAATTTTGATATGTCAGGCCCAAACACAGGGCAAAGAAAAAGCTCCAGAGAACACTCATTTTATTATACTCTGCTAGCAGCATCCAGCTGAAAGCTGGTAAAAGCATTAGAGAAGGCACAGCCACTGAGCACTTTGGGAATGGTGGAAAACACTGAACTGGGAATTGGGAAACCTGGGTTCTATGTCCACCAGTATTTGGCTCTGTTGCCCCCAGGCAAGCCTCTGTACCTTTGGGCCCTTCCTTTTCCAAAAGGAAGAGAAGGGGATGATGATCTCTCGGGTCCCTTTCAACTCTGACATTCCAGGATTCCATGGCGTTGGACCTCAGCTTGCCAGAGCCTAGCAGTGTGGTACCCAGTGTGGTATGGCTGCAGTCAGTAGGATGTTTAGGTTGATGGATGGCGAGATTCAGTACAAGACTGATATTGGGCTAGTTTTTGTCATGTAAGTAGGCACCAGTACAGTCAATAAATAAAGAGCAGAGGATAAATGTTTCAGGCCTTGAAAGCAATTAAGCAATGACAAATCTGACTACATCTCTGCTACCAGTTTCTCTGGCATTGTGGGAAATAAAGACATATCAAAGGAGAATTCTAAAGAGCATTAAGCCCATTTGTTCTCTAGGGAAGTGTGACTTGGTGACTCTCATAGGGTTCTCTGGTAAAATGAAACAGTAGCCCCATAGTGTCATTTCTCCATCTCACTAATGTATAGGGGAATGGTGGCCCCTAAATTAACTCAAGACCTTAGATTCCTGAACAGAATCACAGTAAAGGCAATCTTGCAGAAGCCCAAGTCTAAAGAACAAACTAAGAGAGAGTTATTAATCACTCAAGAATTAACACTTGTGCCTTAGAAGTAATAAAACCAGTCACTGGAAAATAATAACATCACACAGAGGGAAAAAGAGAGAGTCTAGCAGAAATCTATATAGAAAGGTGGGAGAGACCAGAATGAACAACCACCATTTACATTCCAAACATTTATTCAGTCTTTCAAGTGGTATGGCTGACATGCCAAAGTGCGATGGCAAATACAGGGCAGCATGGAGTGCACAATCTCTAGTGTGGGGCTATTAGCCAAAGAATGGGGAGATACGCGTGGGAAAGAAACTACCTGATTTCAGCAGTGGAGATGACAGATTACCACATCCGCTATCCTGAACCAAATCAAATAACTCATGAACGATACTCTGGCTGTATTTCAACATACTTTTCCGCAAGGATTTCAGTCCCCAAGACGGTCACCTCCACAAGAGGCCATGGAGATGTCATTTCCTCCAAACCACAATCCCAATCACAAAAAAATAAAACGAATTAGACCTAAACGAGGAAGAGAGCCGTAAGTGGCTCACACGTGGGAAGACTTGCCTCTGATCAAAGTCCAAAATTATTAGGCTGGTATTCAAATTATGAGGAAAAAAAAAAGACCTTGGGAGGAGAGCACCTCAACTCAGCTGTAACGTTCCTTCTGAAAATGGACAGCGCTGCTTGTTCCCTGCATTCAGGACGCACACTGGCTGTGAAATCAGTGTACAGGAGACAACTTTGACTTGTTTCCCAAGGAAAACCTTTGCAAATGCAAGGTAACAAAACAGTTTTCATTTTATGTTTAGTCCCACACTTTAGTACCTGGCCTCCCCAACTTTGAGAGCAAGCCTGTCATTAAGGGGGAAGCACTGTACCTCGCAAAGAAATGCATTAGAATAAGCAGGGCCTTAGTCATCTTCCTAATCTTCTCTCTCACTCCTGGACTCACACAAACCATGCTCCATCCAGGCTAGTCAAGTTTGTGACAGGATCTCGGGTTTTCCCACCATGATGTCTCTGCTTCTACCATCTTTGAATATCCTCCATCCATCTCCATCTATCAAAATCCTTTGTATTCCCAAAGGCCTATCTCAGAATCCACTTTTCTCCTTTGATTTTCCTTCCTCTGAATTATTTACCACCTTGGGCCTTATCAACCTGGGAGACATAAGTCCTGGCCATTTGTATAACTTCACTTATCTGCACAAGGTGGAGCAGATGAATGATGAAATGACTAGGATGAAGAAAGAAAATTTCTCTTCTGATATCACTCTATTAAAATAGGTTTCAAATATAATTATTGTCCAATTTTTTAAGATATCTTTCATAAAAATATCTCAGCGTGGAACAATAAAAACTAAAAGCAGAAGGGGAAGGATTTCTGAATTCTCAGATTTTTTTTTTTAAAGATTTTATTTTTTTAAAGATTTTATTTTTTCCTTTTTCTCCCCAAAGCCCCCCAGTACATAGTTGTATATTCTTCACTGTAGGTCCTTCTAGTTGTGGCATGTGGGACGCTGCCTCAGAGTGGCCTGATGAGCAGTGCCATGTCCGCGCCCAGGATTTGAACCAACGAAACACTGGGCCGCCTGCAGCGGAGCGCGCGAACTTAACCACTCGGCCACGGGGCCAGCCCCTGAATTCTCAGATTTTTAAAAGACAGAAACTAAGTGTCTTAACATATTGACCTTTTTATGAGAATATTCCATTCAATTTCCAGGTTTTTCAGAACACTCAACAAA